TGAAAGAATGGGTCGTTTGGGTTGAGAAGTACAATGAATTGGGAATGCGGTGGGTATGCGTAAGGTCATCTGCGTGGGTGTCCGAGGTCCTCAGGATTTGGGGGCAAAGTGGGATTTGAAAAAAGATAGAAAGGAATGGGGGGGGGGCGGAATGGAAAATAAGGCAAAGGGTGGCAGATAAATAAAATAGATGTGGTTTGGGCTTGATTTAAAGTGGAAGGGTAGATCTTGTTTGAGAGTACAGGGTAGGTGGACTAGAGTGGCATCTTTCTCCTAATTCATCCAGGATGATTGAGTTCTTTTGGAAGGTGGGTCTTTCTCAGGCATGTCCCTCTGCTGAGTATAAGCTATTCTTTTAATAATTTGGTTATTTATGGTCCATTTCATCGATGAACCATCCCTGTAATATTTATTTCTCTTATGTTCATCAGGTTACTGTGTGTAATTTACCTGTGGTTAATGAAGCAGAGGAGAACATATCACCAAAAATAAGCATCTTGCTTTGAATTAGGTCAGTGATAATGCAGAGTTCAGGGTGTTTGGGGGAAAGAGAACCAAGAGTTTGTTTTCATTTAGACCCAAAGGTGATGAATAGCATTCATAAAATCGAAGTTATCTATACTTTGTTAGAATTGCAGTTTCTCACTGAGAAATGTTCATATACCATCTGCTACTGGATTTATGCTCTTGGGAGAGTTTGGGTTCTGCCTCAAGAAATTCTTGATGCTGATTTCAAATTATCAGGCTGCCTTTTACCTTCCAGTTTGAATTAAGGTGATTTGAAAATACTGTGGGAAAGTATTTCTGGGTCATAATCTTGGCATTTCCTTAATACTTGGATTTCCAGACCAAGTATTGAATGGTTCTAGATACAAGATTGCCGATTTTGAAATTGTATTATCATTATGTGTTCATAAATAGTTGATGTTAATCTTTTTATTTGTTGGGTATTAAGTTTTGCTGACTCACCTAAGATTTCTGGGAATTTATCCATTTATATTTCTCAGCTAGGTCTTGGATAGTAGCATTAGACTAGTTTATAAAGGTCCAAAATAATGACCTCAGTTGTCACTTTTCTTATATCTTACAAAAACTGAATAAAGCAAGGAGTGTCTTCATTAGTGATAATGTGGCTTTTTATTGACCTCTTACAGTGGATGAGGCAAGGTGCTAAGTTTGTTTTGCATGCATTATCTCATTTAATTGAATCCTCACAGTTACTTCCTGTGTTGTAATTAAGAGGTTAAATAACTTGCTATGGTCACAGAGGTAGTAAATAAAGCTGCATTCACACTGGGCTCTGTTGGATGCCTTCTTTAGATCTTTGCTGTCTGGTTCTACTTGCCTGTCTTCCTCCTCCTAATCTTGGTTGTAGTACAAGCAGCATGAATTGGTTGAATCTTGGGTTTGATATGATAATGGTGATTTAGATGAAGATTGGGTTAGTGGGCTATATCTGTAGACTTTATAAGTGCTTATTGCTCTTGTGAATTAACAAGTCTTCTGGGGTCCTGTTAAAGCTAATCTTGCTAAGGGTTTGACCTGTGAACAGGCTTATTATTTTGTTTAGTCTAGTGTACTGCTGAAGTACTGTGCCTAGGTGGCGCTCTTCCTTGTAGAAGTCAACACAACCAGTTGTGGAGGCAGAACCAATTAACTTTGGAAAACAATTGAAAATTGTGGAGAGCTCAAGTGCCCTCCCAAGCACCTGTTGAGTCCACAGTTGGTACTGGCATTATCTCTAAATATAGACAGGATCCTCTTAGAAACCAGGAGTGAAACAAGTAGAACTGAGAGAAACAGCTGGGTCCTGAGGGAGGGGCCATAGGTTGCTGGCCAAAAACATCAGCATAGCCCCTGGGGACTGATCCAGGAGTGGCAAAGGGCTACAGATACTAGTGAATGGCAGGAGGGGAGGGTTGAACATATATGTATTCTTGGCACTGAACTCAGTGTTTTATGTATATTACTTCATAAGATCTTCAAACAACCCTTATAAGGCAGATGTAAACATTATCCCTGTTTTTGAGATGAGGCTCAGAAGGGTTAGTGTACAAAGTCACTTAATAAAAGCAGTAAAGGAAGTTATTATTATCATCATCATCATCATCATCATTGCTGCTTGCTGTTTCCTATTGTAGTGGTTCCAAAATTAAACTTGGGAATTAAAGTCACTCTTCAGGATCTGCTGTGCTTCTTGTTAAGAGTGCAACTGATTATTTCAGTCTTGTTACTTCCACTGGAGACTAGAAGGAAGAGGTTGATTTTTTTCTGATTTAATTGTTGGGAAGGAGAGCCCACTCATTATTTAGTAAACGATCTCCTGTAGAATATAATTCAGCTTCCTCAGCTGCTTAGTGTAAATCTGTAGCAACATGAAAATGGTGTGTCCATCCCTCCTATTCCGAGGTCTTGACTTTCAGGTAAGTTATCTAGGCTGTGGAGGATGACAGGGAAGCATGCTTGTTACAGACTCTTACCACTTTTCTTGATGTTTTTGACACAAAACTGTGACCATCATTCTTAGTTACTTTAAAAAGTTGTGGTAAAATATGGATTATGTAAGATTTACACTTAAACCATTTAAAGTGTATGGGTCAGTGGCCATAAAGTACACTTACATTGTTATGCAGCCGTCACAACCATCCATCTTCAGAACATTTTCATCTTCCCAAACTGAAACTTTGTACCTATCAAACAACTCCCATTCCTCTCTTCCCTCAGCCATTCCCCTTTCTGTCTCTATGAATAGGACTACTCTAGGGGTCTCATACAAGTGGAAGTAGTAGAATAATAGTGTTTGTCCATCTATGTCTGGCTTATTTCACTCAGCACGATGTCTTCAAGTTTCATCAACGTTTGAGCTTGTGTCAGAATTTCATGCCTTTTTAGGACTGAATAATATTCCATTGTATGTGTGTACCACATTTTGTTTATCCGTTTAGACACTTAGGTCATTTCCACCTTTTGGCTATTACAAAAAGTGCCGCTAGGAACATTAGTGTGCAAGTATCTGTTCCAGTCCTTGCTTTCAGTTCTTTTGGGTATATGCTAGAAGTGGGATTTCTGGGTCGTATGGTAATTCTCTGTTTCATTTTTTGAGGAAGTGTTATTACTTTAAAATTTTTTTTTCAACATTTATTTATTTTTGGGACAGAGAGAGACAGAGCATGAACGGGGGAGGGGCAGAGAGAGAGGGAGACACAGAATCAGAAACAGGCTTCAGGCTCTGAGCCATCAGCCCAGAGCCCGACGCGGGGCTCGAACTCACGGACCGCGAGATCGTGACCTGGCTGAAGTCGGACGCTTAACCGACTGCACCACCCAGGCGCCCCCAGGAAGTGTTATTACTTTTAAGTGGTGATTTTATTTGTGTTCACCCGAAGGTAGCACTTGGCCTTATGTTTGAAGGATGATGTTTTCTCTATTGACTTTTTCTATACTGTTTGTAGGACACTTGTACTGGAAATGATTCAAAAGGAAATGATTTACCTAGTTGTCACGGCTCTCTCTTAGCTTCTGCCTATTTATGTTTATGTATCATGACATCTGGCAAGCACATTCAAATACATTTCAACTTAGCAATAAAAGTACTTTTGAAAATCTTTCAGACAGTTCAGCTGTTGAGGAAAATGGGAATATCTGTTGTAAAGTGTGAAATATATCCAATGTGGAAGGAACCATTTGTTATATATATATAGATCTTTCCAGTCATACCTGTAAATGTAGATAATCGCTTAAAAACATTATCTGTGGGGCGTGTGGGTGGCTCAGTCAGTTAAGCATCCTACTCTTGATTTCGGCTCAAGTCATCTCTCAGTGAGATTGAGCCCCGTGCTGTTAGCATGGAGCCTGCCTGGGATTCTCACTCTTCCTCTCTCTCTGCCCTTCCCCCATATTCTCGCTCTCAAAATAAATAAATAAACTTAAAAAATGTTTAAAAAACCCATTATCTATACGTGTGTTTGAAAAATGGGTCAGTAGTATAGAGCATTTTCAGTTCTCTTCGCTGCCTTTGAAATCCAGGGTGCTTTTTTCATCTAAGGATGTTTTACATGCTGCTGGTTACTGTTTAACTTGTTCATCCCTTCATTCA